TTGAAGTCCACGGCATACAGATCAGGTATGGAGTTCTTCTCAGACCGGGTGAGGGTCCTCACCATCCGTTTTGCAAAGCTCCCAAGATTCGGCTCGTCAGAAGTCAGATCTGCATCAAAAGTAGCACTATGTGAGATAGAAGCAGCGTAGTCGGCACTCATCCGTTGCCAGCTGGTGACCGACCCTTTTGAAGGATCAAACTTGGTCTTGACTCTCATAAAATCAAATGGCCAAGGTATTTCAATTCGTTCCTTACCTTGGGCTTCCGAATGGGTCTCCGGCTTCTGCTCCTCCCCAGTGGTTGCCGCACCGTCTTCAACCTTAGGTGGCTCGCCACCCTTCGATGCCGTAGAGGCATCCGGCGCTTACTGTTGCGAGCGTTCCGAGCCTTCGCTCAGAATTTTCATTGCAGCAGGTGATTTACCCCCAGTCGTTGGACGACCAGATTGGGCAGATGATTGTTTCTAGGGAGGAGGGACTTTCCTGGCAGCTTTAGCAGCCGGAGTCTTCTCCACATCGTCTCCTTGCCTTTTGAGCAGCTTGGAGAAAGATCGTGGGACCTTCTTGGCAGACTCCTGAGAAATAAACAAAGGGTAAGTACACCCAACCGGTAAAGTAAAAAAAAATGCAAACACATAAAGTCAGGCGGTCTTACCCCGCCTTTCTTGGAATCTTTAGCCTCGACGGCTGCTTTCTTGGCCAGCGCAGCCTCTTTGCACAGCAGCGCCGCAGACTTGGTCGGAGTCTTTGCCTGATCAACCATCCTCAAGGCTTTGTCTGCAAGAACAAAAATTTGTAGTTAGAGAAAGTTATGGCAAGTTTGCAATTAAAGTAAAATAACAATCATTCCGGATGAGAAGTGTTCTACCCCTGGGAAACATGGTACTTAGCCCGCAGGCGGACAAGAAGCACTCATCCTTGAAGAAGTCCAAATGAGGAATCCAGTTTTTGGGTAAAATAATGTGAGTCCCATCCCCCATGGGCTCAGTTGTTGTTTCAAAGAATTCCGGCTCCATTATTTGCTCCCGGGCCTTAGTAGATAGTGTCGGGAGAGGGCATTTGCGTCCAAGAAGAGCCGACTTAGCATTGTACCGGCGCAGTGTCCGGTTGTGTCTAAGGGTGGGGGAGGAAACCAAATAAAACTTGTCCTTCCACCCGGACCATTTGGACACTTTGTCCAGAGTCATCAAGTATTGGGGCAAGGTAGTCAGAGTATACCATGCCCCATGGCCGCCTAGAGCCTTGCTCAAATAGTGCATATGAGCGAAGGTGGAGAAGCTGGGGTTCAAGTTTTGAAAACTCGCAGGCGGCGATGTAACTTAGGATATTCACCCACGAATTGGGGGTGAGCTGCCAAACCCCTAGATCATACCCCTTAAGGATTTTCCTAATCCCAGGGTAGAGGGGGAACCGAAGGACGGCTTCGATAATCGCCTCGTAGCAGATGAAGTAATCATCTGCGTGCTCAATATCATCTCCCCAGGCCATTACGGCATCAGCCGGGGGAACGATAATCTCCCAACCCCTTCCAAAGGGATGCTTCTCCTTGAAGGCCCTGAATCCGCTATTATGGAGGGCAATGTTACCCGGCAGCATCCGGGTCCTTTTAGGGTTGGGGTTGTCAGCGACCTTGGGCGGCTGCTGATAGTCAGCCGCAAAATTATCCTGGTCGGAGCCGGAGGATTCGGCTCTTGATCCTTGGCCGGCCTCAGCATCGCCGGCTTCATTAGAGGAGGCGGCTCCCTCGCCGTCTACCTCTCGCATCCCAGAGCTCCCGGAGGTAGAGGGAGCCTCTTCGTTAGATCCGCTCTCCTCCCAATCCCTCCGTTCCCCTTCCAGGAAAACCTCATCGGCTGGCACTCTCATAGTGCGCCGGCTCTTAGACCGTCTGGCCGTCTGTTTCGTTCTGGCCATTGTGTCCTGCACAGACACAGAGAGGGAGGAATTAGGAGATGAGCATATTGGTTCCAACAGTCCAAAAGAGGCACCCCCTGTTCTAGACTCAGCCGTTCCGGGGGATCGGCTGAGTGTCCTAGGCAGTGCCGAGTGAGTGGATTGGGAACTCATTTATATTTTCTAAAAATCTAGGTATACAGGCGGGAAAAAATGGTATACAAATTGAAAGGGAGGAAAGCTAAAATGGTACAGGCGGTTACCTCGCTTTTTCTCTGAAAAATCTGAAAACCGCTACAGCCGGTAAACCGGGTGTTGAACTGCTAGCACTCGGAAGTTTGAACTTGTTGTGGCGTAGACGGAAGCAGAGAACTTCTCTCTAGAATCTCTCTTTCTCTCACTAAAAAGTCAAATGTGAACGTAAAGTGTGAAAAGGGGGGGTAACTTTCTATTTATAGAAAGTGAAAGTGGGGGGAAATTTTTGATTTGAAATTCAAAAATTTTACCCGTTATTGTTCACCCATGAAAGGTGGACATATGTCATAGGCCCCGCGTGATATGCACGTGTGACCTATGAGAGGCAAATGTTTAGGGTAAAAATACCCTAGACACGTGGGCCAATGAGAGGAAGCCACGTGTCAAGCTCAGGATGGCCCATGTGGCTTAAACATCCTCTTGACACTTGGCGCCTTCAGATATACCTCTGAAATTGCGGCCTTCAAGGGCCTAAATCTCTAGAAGCGCCGTTTTACGGCGCAACCCACTAAAAGTTAGGTCAAGTGACCTAGATTGGGGCACGCTCTCCAAGGACCCTATAAATAGGGAGATATTCCCCCATTTTGGGGACACATTCAATCATTTATTACACCTGCATTCTCTCACATCAGAGAAAGACCTGAGCTTGGAATCCGAGCAGATACCCACCTAAATTTCCGTTCTCTTTATTCCTTTTCAAGTTACTAACTTGACCGTCGGAGGCGGAGCTCCAACCACCCGGAGTCTCCGTTATTTTGCAGGTACAGCTCGGCCGGATCAGACTTCGTGACATAACTCTCCCAAGGGACAAAAACCCCAAAACATTTGGTATTGGATATGTCAAGTCCATACCAGAATAAAAAATAATATTTGCAATTTTTTAAAAGTTAAAAAAAAATAAGGGTAGGTAAAAGTGATGGTAGGGGGGTAAAATATCATAACCTGTGAAAAAACACAAAAATCACGAGAATGGTTTTGTTTTGGTCGGAAAACCACTAAACCGTAAAGCTCCATAGAAGAGATCCATAGCTCCGACTACCTCTGAACTTTGAAAAGATGAAGCTTCGTGAAGATCTGTAGCTCTTCGTAGAGCTAAATTCCTCTTTATCTGGTAAATTGTTGTTTTGTTTTAGAGTTTAATTTTTAATTGGAACAACTTTGAGAGAATTGGAAGGTTTTTGGAAGGTCGTATCAGTGGGTCTTGCATCAAAGTCATAAGAATCTGCTTGCTTATTTTTCCCTTTGAATATGGTGTTGGTTTAATCTACTTAGTAATTTATCTTGTTCGAACACCTTAATTTGGGAAAAAAGTTTTCATCCGGGAAGAATGTGATAGAGCCAATGATGTGGATCAACCCAATTTTTGCAGGGGAGGTACTGCTCCACTTGCAATACTACTATAATTTTTGTGTTCTATTTCTACTATGGGTTTTTTAAATCATTTTTTTTTTTCTTGTCTTCTGAAGTAAAGAATTGAACTAAAGTGAATGTTCTGTTTTGCAGAAATGGAAGAAGCTTATACAAAAATGGTTGCATTGGATTTTTTTTTTTTTAATATCTGATGCTGTAATTTTGTTTGCATATACTGTTATATGCAGCTTAATTAACTGTTATATATTGTTGCATACTATTGTGTGATGATGTTGAATTATGATTTCTGATGAATTTAAATTTACTCTACATTATATTTAGAAACTTTTATAGGAACTAAAGTATAATTATAAGGTTAACATAGAGAGTGATAGTAAGATTACTAGATTACAGTAGTAACTAACATAATCATAGTTAACATACCATTACACGAGTACTTAATATGAAGTTATATCATTATCCTAGAAATTTGACTATATTGTTTACATTAAACATACATTGGACACATGTACCAAACATAGTGACACGTGTCCCTCAAAACCATAGTTCAGACTTAGGGTCTGTTCTCATTAACTGAATTAAACTGAAATGAATATTTTATAAGAGAAGAAAATTATGAGCTAAACTGAACTAAACTAAAAATAAACGTATGAGAACAGGCCCTTAAGTAGGTTATGACACGTGTCACATGCTCATAGTAGGGTGAAAAAGGACTAAGGCACAATTCCCGAGAGTCGTAATAACCCCAAAAACAACTAAAATAAGTCTTGTATAAGGCAATAAAGTCATGCCTAGTTGTTAATTTATTTTCTAATCACTAAAGTTGTTATAATGTAGTAATGTGTTGATAAACCATAAATTACTTATTATCAATATAGTAATGTTTTGTTAATTTCACATTACTAAAGTTGAAAATTTGTAATAATTAAAGTTGTTAATTTCAAATTTAATTGTAAGTTTGTAACCGATAAACAGTTATGAACTATTAAGAAAATTGTTATTTATAAAGACAAACTATTATATTTGTTTAGATACTGTTATTTGTAAATAAATAATGTTATGTATAAATATATGCGACCTATTGACTAGATTGGTAAAAAAAAAATAAAAAAATAAAAAAATAAAAAAATAAAAAAAAGACCTAGCGAATGGTAAAATTTTTTTTTAAAAAAAAAAACAGTAATTCCAAACGACATTTTAGTGAAAAAAAAATAATCTCAAGCGACCAAAATATCTAATATTTTATGACAAAGTCTTCAAAATTCCTAAATGAATTAAAATTGTGTTTTTAATATCACAATTTCTTATATGTGGCTAGCCACATGGTATGACCAATTGACATAATCACATATAAATCGATTAATAAGGGTCACAGTAATGAGCATATAGAGTTACTTTAAAGTATGTAGATTGCTTAAATGAGAAAAAAAAAGGTTATTCAGTTAAATAAGTGGAATCATACTTAAATTCTAAAACAAAATAATAGAAGTTAATAAGTTATCATTTATAAATAGATCAGCTTTCTCAATTTTTTATTAATTTTGCATAACATCGTTTCTTATAAATAGAAACTGTTGTATAGAAAGATATACCGTCATTTACAAAACGATACAGTTATATAGAAATATATACTGCCATTTTTAACATTAACTCTTAAATACATCGGGTTCACATTTCTTCTAAAAAAAATAGGAAAATTTAACGGGAATAATCCAACCTTTTGTCCGTTCTCCCATATTAATCCCACCTTTTGTTTATTCCTAATTAATCCAACCTTTTACCCCCTTTTTCTCACATCAACCCTTGCTAACTGGAAACCGGCTACACAAGTGAGGGTTATTATTATGGACTTATTGACTTTTGGTTTTCTTCCCAAATGAATGAAACTCCATTACTACTCCAACCACGACGGTCACTATCACCATCACCATCAAAAATCGAGCACCACCTCCATTTACTCCTCTCTATCCGTACTCCAGTCACTATAGTCTTTCACTCCCGATTTACCTGGTGAAATCATCGAAGACTTTCGCGCAAAAGATTGTTGTGGGTTCTCGAATCGAAGAGCGTCAAATGGAGGTATGTGATCAACGAACCCTAAATTCCTTTCCTTTTTTTGGGTAATTGTATGTGTGTTGTGGAAATTTCGAATTTTTTGGTTGGTGACGCTTTGTTCTTGTGAAAATTGTTTGGTTGTTTAGGGTAGTGTATTAAAAGTGCCTTGTTGTTGATAATTGATTGCTGAATTGCGAATTATATGCTCTGTTTTTGCTATATTAATTCTTAATTTGCGATTTGAACTTAGAATTGGTTTTAAATGCTGGATATTGTTGTGTATGTTGTGGTTTTTTGGTAGATGGATGATCCCTTCTCTACTGTCACACTAAAGTATTGGTATGAAGGTGTTTTTAAAACTATTTCAAATGGAGAGTTAGTATATAAAGGTGGAAAAGGGAAGACTTTTACCATTGATATTGACAAGTTGTGTTGGTGGTGGCTGGAAGATTTTGCCAAAAATTGTGGGGATTATGAAAAAATAGACAACCTGTTTTATTTAGTTTTTGGTATGACCTTAGCTAATGGTTTGAGGAAGGTGTACTCAGACCATGAAGTGATGGATTTGAGGAGTATAATTGAGAAAAGTAGATGTATTGAATTTATGTGTTTGATGGAATTGTTTCCCCACGGTTAAACCCCAGTGAGCCCCCACCTGTTGTAACAAATTTTCAACATTTACTAAAGCAAGATTCACAACACAAGCTGCCAATAAGGAGAGCCCCACCCAAACATTTAATGTTAAAAGATGAGTCCAACAAGAAAGATGCTTGTACCTCAGATCTTATCTCACAGAAATCTAACCCACCCATCACTCAACCACTAATAATAAAAAAATGCAGACACACACCCACAACTCTCCCTTTATCAACCTTTAACCTTGAACACAGTCAAACAAAATTTTCTTCTCCTCCCATAGATTCAAACCCAAAGGCACCAGAAATTTTCCTTGAGGATGATCCTTGGCTAGATAACAGACCAGAAAGCCCATTGACATGGACTCAGCTTTTAAACTATTCTGACCAGAGTGAGGATTCGGATCCACTCTATGATCCTATCAGTGATAAGGGCAAAGGGGTTGTTGTGGTAGAGGATGAGGAGGAATCAGATGCAAGTTTAGATCTAGGTGATGATTATGAAGAGTTTGATGAGCAGGAAGAGGGGTTCAATGAAAGCTTGCTTTGTGATGATGGAGGACATGAAACAAAAGTAGATGATGAAGAGTTCAAGACTACAAAAGAGAGGGTGAGGACTTGTTCTGCTAAGCTTGTTGAAATAGCAGATAAACTTCAGAGGGAAGCTGCTCAAGGGAGGTTAGGCAGCCATGGTGAACAAACTGAAGTAGGAGGAGTGAAAGTAGGGGCTGCTAATAAGGAAGGGTATGAGAGTGAATATGATAATAGTGATGATGATTTACTAACTCCAGGAAACAGTGATGAGGATGAAACTAAGGAAGAAAGAAAGAAGAGGTCAGGAACTCTAGTAAAAGCAGACACAGATTTTGTTGTCTTCATTTGGAAAGTTGGTCAACGGTTTGCATCAAGGGATGCTTTTAAAGATGCATTTGCTAAGTATGCTATATTACAGGGAATAGATTTCAAGCTTTAATCCCACTAGCTTGAACCCCACTGTGATCATACACTAAAGTACGGTGGCGTCCAAAAGGGAAGAAGATAGAGCAAAAGAGTCGCCAACAAGTTTTAGGAACTTGTAAACCATTCACGAGGTGAAGGTTACACCTCTTAACGATCCATGAGATCGTCAACTCCATAAGGTCTAGAACCAAATAAGGGTTCGGGGATGAAGGTACAAATCCAACCTAAAAGAGATTGAACCTGCCCTAATAATAGGCCTCTACTTTATTCTGATCGTATTCATGTGCGCTTTCTGACTAACATGCAATCAATAGGATTAACCCTAAACCTGTTTATCTATGTTGGTTGAATATAATGCACAAATAAACTATTATTGATGATCACTTGAATTATAATCATATTAACCCTAAACAAGATTATTAAATATCTTATTAAGCGTGATTACAAGTACCAATTCCCTTTAAACATGCATAGAAGACGTGATCAAGCAATAACAATAAATATCATCAAGCAACAATAATAAACAATATCATGAATAATAAAATTATAATCATAACAATAATAATCATAAATAAAATAATCATCATCAAAATAATAATAATAATATTCATAATCATCATAAATTATAACAATTATAATCATAATCATGTTCATGTTAATATTAAAGCATAATAATAATAGCAAGATCCTAGGCATGATATTAACAAGATTAATAACAAACCCTAGCATGTCACTAAGCAATAAAAATCAAATCTTTAACCCTAACATGATACTAACAATCATAAATATTAGGAAGAACATAGGAAGCATCAATCATATTTAATATTAAAATTACCCTAGACATGATACTAGGAATATCATAATAACAATATAAACATGATGTCTACATCATAACAATTAAAACCATTAAAGTACTTACTTTGATGCTTCGTACCTCTTTCTAATAACAAAATACACACGTTAGTAACTTCAAGGAAAATAATAAACAAACAATTAAGTTAAATAATTAAAATAGAGATTTGGGACCAAACCCTCAGAAATTAAAATCTTTCACGTCTAGGGCGAAGGCAACTTCGAATATGGCTAGGTGTTTCTAGATCTTGTGAATGCGGAATTTTTTATGTGAAAACAAAGTTTGAAGAAAGAATTGAATGATTAAGAGAATGCTAATTAAAACTGATTGTAGGTGAATGATGGATGTAGATGATAAGAATTGGTGAGAATTAGTGAATGAAAACGGAGTTTTTAATACGATATTTATAGAGAAAATCAGCCAAAAAGATAAATTAAACAAAACAGAGTCTGACGCACAGAAAACAGAGCTGGCGCCAGGCACCAACACTAGCGCCAGGCGCCAATGGCTAGCGCCAGGCCTGGTTCCAGGAGCCAAGGCCTGGTTCCAAGCGCCAAGGCCTGGGGTTAGCGCCAAGCCTGATTTTAACGCGTTTTCGAAAATCAGATAAGTTTGCCGTACTGGAGGATAAAATCATATAATTTCCTCAAAAATGCTATTTGATTTTGATTAAAACTCTGAAAAGTCAACAAAAGTCAATTTATCAATGCTAATTGAATTAGGAATGAAAAGAACCTTCTAGAAGAATCTAGAAGACTAAAACCATTCCTAATTGCATTAGGAATGATAAATCATATTAGGCCCTCCCCTAGATCATTGGGCCACACATAAAGCTCAAACCGGGCCTAGTTTAGTAAATTGGCCATAACTTCCTCAATATTCATCGGAATTGGGCCTATAATATATCGTTGGAAAGGTCTTTGTAAGCCCCATCCAACTACACTACTATTGGACCCATATCATGGACCAACCAAACTGGATTGGCTGGTTTCTTAAAATAAGTTTTCAAAAACAGAGAGAAAAGAAAAGAATTAAAACTTTCCGCAACACTAGACTTTCCACACTTTCGCTTCATTCGATTATGACTCGACGTGAAAGGTACTCATCACTGGGTTTGGTTTTGGGGATACACAAATGGGTGTCTACAGAAGCCCCCACTTTGACTGAGTTTGGAGAAACGCAGGTTTCGAAAACAAAAGTCAAAGTATCGATCGGGACGGAGAATGATTCAAAACGTTCTGCGATCCTAAACCAATCTTGTAATGCCGATACTTGCAAACTAGCGTTAGTTAAACAGATAAAAGAGTTAAGAAACGCGTATCTTGCACCGTCGAGCACACGTCTCTGAAAGTAACCGATTGTTGCTGTATCCTTGTTGTTTTTGCTGTTTTGATGACCTTCTGCAAGCTAGAGAATGCCATCCCGCTTGAAAACTGCTACGTCCGTAACTGTTTCCAATATAGAAGATTGCATCGCCTGAAACGATCCTCCTCCGCTATGATAATATTCTACGTCCAAAGGGAATACCATCGAAGATTGCTTCTCTTGAAACAATCTTCATCCGCATTGATAATATTCCACATCCAAGGGAATACTACCGAATATTGCTTCTCTTGAGACAATCCTCAGTTGTTTGTGACAACTCTCCACAATCTAGGGAACGTCATCTTACTGCTTGTTTTGACAATCTTCCGCAATCTAGGGAACGCCGTCGATCAATGTTGCTACATCTCGAGCCTTTTCTTGAATCATAGTGACAACCTTTCCAATCATAGCAAAAGTCGCTGAAGACCGCCTCATCATGAACCGCTCTTCTCGTATCTTGGTGAAAACCTCCACAATCTTAGCGAACGCCGTCGAAGATCGCCCATCTCGTGCTATCTTCTCAAATCTTGGGTGACAACCTCCACAATCTTAGCGAATGCCGTCGAAGACCGCCCATCTCGTGCTATCTTCTCAAATCTTGGGTGACAACCTCCACAATGTTAGCGAATGTCGTTGAAGACCGCCCATCTCGTGTTATGTTCTCTAATCTTTAGTGACAACTTCCACAATCTTAGCGAACGTTGTCGAAGACCGCCCATCTCGTGCTATCTTCTCAAATCTTTAGTGACAACCTCCACAATCTTAGCGAACGCTGTCGAAAATAACTTTACTTGAAGTCATCCTCAGTTGTTCCGATAATATTCCGAAGAAAATTACCGAAGACCAACACTTGTTGATCTTTAAAGCTCGCTCGAACTTTGCTTCCGCTATGCCTGTACGTCGGCGCTTTCGTTGCTTTGAACCTATACATCGGTGCCTTTTCTGCTTTTGAGCCAATGCTTAGGCGCTTTAAGCTAAGTGAGACGATCTTTCATCAGGTCGATCACTTATTTGCTGTCGTAATCAAACCGACAACTTAATCATTTCAAATTGCTTATAGGGGCTAACTGGCGTACCAAGGAACCCAAAATTGTTGTATGAGGTCGAAATCACCTTTCTGAGAGGCTTCGAGCTCTGTCGCTGCTGAAATATCTCTAGTGCCAAGAATTGACTCTGCCGCCGAACGCTGTGATAGGGTTTTTCTTGTTCTG